CTTCTATTTATATTTTTGAATGAAGTGAGTTATAATACATACAATAAAGCTGGGACACCAAAAACCTCCCCTATACAAGTGGTTTTTCGAAAAATAAACCTACAAAAAGACATGATTCTCTATGAAAGAATCTTCAATACCAGTTCGAACTCATGGGGTGGCACCCAAAGAAACTAGGATAGAAGATATTTCTCAAATGTTCAAAATCATTGTCTACCCCCTCCAAGCTAGAATAAAAAGCCAATTTGAGTTGCACAAAAGAGCAGTTTTAGGCAGTTACCATATGCTTGTAGCACGCTTAATAGAAGAAGACTTGACAATCATCACAAGAAATTCTTTAAAAGCTTTCATCTTTACAGGTTTTCGTCTTGCCGAAGGATACTAGAAACAAGAACATCGATTGGATCCAAATCAATTTTTTGAAATCATTTCTGGAGATCAATATACAAGACTTTAAGATGATGCAGTAGCTTGGAGGCCATGCAATGATGTTCATTACAAAAAACCTAGCAGTACAAATCAGAAACAGTAATCAAAAATGGGCAAACCAACAATTCTTCTCTTCATTGTAGTGGCATTTACGAAATCTAATGATAGGCAACCAGATAGAGATTCTTTAAAATCTCATAAACAAAAGGTATCCGTTTTACCGGAAGACTTGGAAAAAAGACGTACCCCTGATAAATTCATTCAGTTGCGGCCATAACTCTTCATCCCTAATCTTGTATCTTCTCAGAGATCTTGTCAACAACCTGAATCGCGATTCTAATTTTTGTGGAGAGACTTCTAACCAGTTTGCCTTGTCATATCAACCTTGTGAGCCTCAGCACCCTTTTGATCTAATCGCTTTAGCTTTTCAGATTTCCTTTCATGGAGTACCCTTATCTTCTCCTCGGACTGCACCAGAATAAGCAAGGGGAAGTACACACTGTCAATACACAGTACATGTTTAAGGCAATATGAATTACACCTAGCACTACAGCAACCTTTGTCTTGTGGTAAAGGGGCGATCGAAGGGGAGCAATTTATAAATTCAATTGCAAACAAAAGAAAAAAAAATACTCAAAGGACTCATATCACCCAGAAGAGGAAATACAAGCAACAATAGACACAGAAAATGTATAGTAACAACCATAACTGAGTTCGCAGCTTCTCTAAAGTGAGACAGACATGGACTACAGATGAAGATTAAACATAGCAAACGACAGTAGTGATAACAAGTACAGATGTATGGCATTAGCTATCTCTGGAATCTGGATTGTCAAAGGTTTTTGAGATTGTCCACAAAGATTCTACTGCACCAATGCCAAGTTCCACTTAATTACACACTTGCAAGACACACCAAAACACAGAAAGAGACAATAATCACAGATGAGGAAGAAACAATTTTAAATCCTCTAATTAATTGAGCTATTCAGAGAGCAAGCAAAACACACCAGTAAACTCTGCCCTCCAAAGAAGATGTCATCCAAGCATCATAAAGCAAACAATGAAAAGAAATAAGTGAACCTACAAAAGAAAACAATACCTTAACCTCCTGATACAGCTTCTTCTCCCAGAGTGCAGCTTGTTTAACGTTGAAGAAAGGTTCCTGGACCTTGAAGTAACATCTCCTTCACCATTTGAAGCAGCAGGATCAGCGATCTGAATCTCAGCACTCTTTGAGGTAGAAGTTTGTGAGAGACTAAAGAATAACGAAGGAGTAATTGCATGCAACATCTTGGAAAGAAACTGCTCCCACAAATTCCCATGAAATATAAGTTAAAATCAACTGAAATAACCTCAAACATCAACCATAACAAAATTACTACCATGTCCAGTACACTTTGACATAGCAAGACTTAGCTTTTATCATAAACAATCCAATATTATCATCTACAAGGCTCAAGAGCATAATGACAGATTCTTTGTGGAGAATAGGATAAAAATCATAACTTGATAAAAGAACAACTTGCCTCACTCCCACACAATTGGGATCAGTTATATGAATCCTCACAATTCATGCTACTCCTACTTAAACTCATCTCAAGCCAATATTATATGCAAATACATACTATAATTCTCTTATATTTTGTAAATATATATGTTTAGGGTAAACCACTCCTACAAAGCATAGGACCTATGGTAAAGTGCTAACGTCTAAAAAATCATAACGTGACATCACAATTGAATACCTCCATACGTGGAAGGCATAATAACCAAAACTTGAGATCCACTGAAGTACCTTGATAGGAGGCGTGCTTACATTGTGGGGAAGCTTTCCAACCTCGAGCATCTGGGCAAGCTCATTCCAGATTCAGAAGCTCGCTCAAATTGAACTTGTATCTCTTTCACAACATCAAGAATCATCCTTAAATGCACGAGCTTTAACATTTCCACCATGTCCCCTGACTATTTCTGTCTCATCTACCACTTTCTTATCCACCACGTGCACCTCATACTCCACCTCCTGCTCATTCTCAACTGACCCACTTGGCCTCCCACGGTATAACGACTCTGTATCAGTTTGCTCTCCCCCTCCTCTGCCACAGCCTTTGAATAGTTCTCTCCGCCACTCCTCCATCGCCGGGGACAAAATTCTGATGTCCATGAACTTCCTTAACAACCTCATGCTCAAAGTCCTCTTCTTCCAAATCAGGAATACCCTCTTCTTCCTCACCTCTCTCGAGTCTCGCTTGGCGTATAAGGTGTAGGGTAATTATTATTCTCAAAAGTCTCGAAAGGGTTCAGAAAACCAAGGTGAACTCCTCGGTGGAGATGGCGGGTGGTGGGCGTTTCGAAGTCGAAGGCGCACTCTAGACGCCCAGCGGCGGAATGAAACACCGTACGGCCTTTGCATCGACGAGGGAAAAAACTGTCACCGTAATGGATATTCCGGGTAATTGTAGTTAGAATTAGGGTTGTTGCTATTCGATAAGGATAAGGGTAATAGAAGAAGAGCCTTCCACCATACGAACAGTCTGGGAGCTCATCGGCCGTTGTTGATAGGTCACCGATGGCGTCGTTTGCTTCCTCATAAATTCATATGCATATATCCCCCACCACCCCCTCCAACTTGATACGGTGCTCCATACCCACCACCCGCACCAACCTGATATGGTGCTCCGTACCACCACCAGCTACCGACTTGATACGGTGCTCCGAACCGTCACCAGCTCCCGATTGATACGGTGCTCCGAACCCGCCACCCGCTCGACTTGATATGGTGCCCGAACCCGCCTAGGGTTTCCTGATCAGCATAAGCGAACTGACCGTACTGATTATTAACGTGAGTAGGGGTTTCGGTATTGGTGGTGATGCAAAGACTCTGAACCGGAGTCATCATCGTCCGAACCGAGTCAGAATGGAAATGAAGAATGTGAACCGGAACTAGAGTGAGAATCGTGATGTTTGTGAATTTGCCTTTTTTGCTGGAGGGGAAGAAGAGGAAGGTTCTGGAAGGTCTCCTCCACCTTTGCGTTGGAAGGGAGATTGAAACCGGAGAAAGAGGACTATCGGAGGAAACGCAGTAGAAAGATCGAGATCATGTTGGAAGAACCGGTGAGAGAAACCCCGACGGCTTTTAAAGAGTGAAGATAAGCTACATGGGCTTCAGCAAAAGCGTAACAGGTGGTGAATAGCTTCGTCTAGAAAGGCGCAACGTTCACGGCAGAGTGCCACCGCCGGTAAGTCTCATGCTTTGAGGTTGCGCACCCCATAATTCAGATAATAAAATTGGGATTAGTGATTATTGCCCATGAAAAAAAACGTTTAATAATAATAAAAGGAGGGATTTTGGAAATAAAGAAAGAGAAGGCATGGTGAAGGGTAGAGTGAGAGAATTAGTGGGAGAAACAGGAAGGATGATCAACGAATGGACGGTAAAGAGAAAGAACAAGAAGCATCACCACCCACCCAGTCACAACCCCCCACCCCATTAATTGGAGGGACAAAGATGGAATCTTTGCAGCAGTGATTTCGTCTGTTTGTAGGCACTAGCACTAGCAAGATAATAAGAAAGAAATAAAGAGGAAAGATATTTGCCACGGCGAATACTGTTGCTTTTCCTTTTTCAACGATTTAGCAGATTAATAATGCTTATTTTAGGTGATAAAATGTCACTTAGCATGTAATCTGAATTTTTAACCTAAAAGTTAGCTTACTAACAAAACGACATTTCTCTCATAATAATGGGTTAGAGATTGGACGAAACGCAACGTAAGTGGTGTAAATCGGTACGGGGTGGTACAGGGGGTGAACTACAAAAGAAATGATAAGTGTCGGTGCAAGATTGTAAATAGTATTACTTTCGATTTATGTCCCTTTTCGGTACGTTTTAAAAAAGAATGACCCCTTTCTAATTTGGCAACAATTTAATTTAAACTTACAATTCTACCCTTTATAAAGAAGTTTTTATAACCATACAAATAGCCCTTATGACTTGTTTAGAATCACAAATTCCAAAAGTATTCATTTTTCTTAAACTTCGTGTCAAGGTCAAATAGGTTCACAATAAATTGAAATGGAGGGTGTAGATAAATATTACTTCCTCCAATTTTTTCCATACAATAATATTTGAGAGCATAGATTTAAAAATAATAAGAAAGTCCCTTCGTGGCGTCATCCATACAATACCTTGGGATCAATCCCCTCAATGCTTTTGGGCTTCGAATATTTCACATAGGATAGTGTGGTTTACATCTCCTGTGTGGTTTGCAGGCTATACTAAGTAGGGGTTACCCAGTGCTTACACGAAGGGCAAAGACTATGGCCAGTGGCGAAGCCTGAAAATTCAATAAGGTGTTTCAAATTTTGAACACTCTTGCCAGTGGGGCTATGCAAGGTGTTCAAAGTCTGTTTTTAATCAATAACAAGTAATATTTTACCTATATGTAATATAATTTTTTTTCGGCGAAGGGTGGTCAGTTGACCACCCTTCAATCAAAGTAGCTTCGCCCCTGACTATGGCATAGGCTGTAGCGGCCTGGGGATTAATATAATAATAAAATAATCTCTCTCTTTTGATTTCTCCTTATCTCCTACATTTGAGAGACTGAATTATTCAAAGTCCAAAAACTAGATGACAAGAATAAGTAGTACTAACAAAATAAGAAAACAATGAACATTCATGGATGCACTTACCTCGAGTTTCTTCAGCTTTTTTTTTTGAGATTGACTTAACTTAATGTTATTCTTCGTTTTAAGCTTTTTCGATACCTGATATGAAAAAAATAAAAGCAATCGGTCATCTGTGAAGACGTTCAAACATGTATAACATATTGATTTTCTGTTTATACCTGTTCCTTTTCTGTCTTCTTCTTCTTTTTCTTGTCTGGCAATATAATTGCATTGCTATCTTGATCATTCAGACTATTAACACAAGCAGTCCAGATATAAAGTTAATAACTACGAAGGTATATTCTCAATTGAAACCAAAGACAACAGTTGTTTAAGCAGCAAAAAAAGCAAGTGGATTAGGAAATCAATTACCTCCAGATGTCTGTATCAAGGTTAGTATCTGCACGAGGCTCCATTATCACGACTAAAATAATAATACTCTTGCAGCCGGCAGTCGAAGCAAATTGATAACTTCGCTGTGTTCTTTCTCAAGCTGACGAAAAGGGAACAAAAAATAAGCAATAAATCGTGGTATCCAAATCAAGGGGGCTCTAGGATAAGGCAAGTGAAGCTCTTCGCCGGAGAAGAAGAAGAAACAAGGAGGGTCGCCGGGGAAGAAAACGAAGGGTTGGGATGGACGGCGGCAGAACCTTTTTTCGGGCAGGTTCTTGTTTTTCTTCTTTATTTAAAACCTTTTTTAAAAAAAATTCAAAGACCCCCAACGGCTAGCCCACACCAAAGAGATGTTCATATTACCAAAACAATGAGTTTTGCTACTCAGACTTCACAAAAACTAACAAAATTCTCAATCGGGCAATTTGTCGAACATCTTATATGCATAATTTCTATCCTCATGTATCAATGCAAGTAACATGTGCTTTGCCCTCCCAATTTGAGTGAGGTAGTGGGAATTGTAGTTTACACCTCACTATGAATAACAACCAACAAAATCTAGAGAAAATTATGCTCCAAAATTCACAATTCAATTACTTCTACCTAAAGTAACCCATAACAAGAAATTGCAAACAAGGAGAACAACTATAACTGACGCAAGGGGGAGGGTGGTACGAAACTATATGAAACAAAAACAACAAAAAAACAAAAAACAAAAAAAAAAACGGAACACTGTGCACCGCAATTGATACATGTGAGCGAAACAAAACGGAATACTGTGAACGAAACTTGGAAAAGAAAACAAAAAAAAAAAACCTAACAAGCAATTGACTTACCTGATCTTGGATGGCAGAATGTAGAACGAGGGGTGGGGGTGCGAAATTGGGGAATATAGCTATTAGAAATAACTATAACGTTTTAAGAACAAAAAGAAAGAAAAAATATTCTTAAAAAAAAACAAAAAAATTTAACAATTCGCGAAGTGAGGCGCGCGATGCCCTCACTTCACTGTTTTTTTTATTTTGTGGCTGGCCTGGTCGCGTCTGCCTTCGCGTGTAGACGCGGATTTAGACGAGCCCAGTGCTGGCCATTTTTTCAGTTTTCTTTATTTTTTTTCAATTTAGCCACTTTTGGCCCCCCTTTTTTTTTAAAAAAAATGATTTCTTCACTCCGACAGTACTAGAAATAGGCACTATATCATTGTTGAAAGTGTGGTAGTTGAAGCAAATCTTGCGTGCAATCAAATAAGTTTTCAAGATCACCTAGTCTGCAGGTGAACAATGAAAGACAAGAAGAGGTAGCCTCTGAAGATGATTTTACTCTAGACAAGTTTTCATCGAATTGAGACACGATAGGGTGAGATGTGGAGGGAACGCTGCTAGAACGTGCATGCTTTAGGATAGTTTTCGATCTCAAAGGTGAGGGAGCCATTTGTTTTTTTTCTTGTTGAAGTTGAGAAGACTATTGGAAGGTGCAATTCTAAGTTTTCAAGTTGTGCTCCTTCTTCTTGCCCTTGCTCTATATATATAGAACTAGGGGGGCTAGAGAAAAGGACTTGATTCTAGGCGATGTCTGTGGCATGCCCTCTCCCACCATCACATACACCACCTATTCTTCTTTTTATTTATTAAAATGATTCCCCACGAATGGGTTAAGCAATTTGAGTGCATAAACATTTCAGGTAACTGTATGTTTATCAGTGCACGTCGGGTTGGAGACAAGGAATATTGACAACTCTGCATTCATAAATGGAACTCGATCGTGCACTTTATTTGATTGCATACAAATTATACATGGATGCAACCTCACAGTTGGTTTGGATTAAACTGCATATCAGGCAATGTTTATGCTCTGTCTCGTACGACCTTCATCTTAGGTGACTACATATATTAATGCAATGACTCACTCTTTTTCTGCACATGGATGATCTGCAATTTTAAATGTGGAATCAAATTTCAATGCAGTATAGGATATGTAAATAAATGTCTGAGTTTCAGCATACAAGTATTAAGAGACAACATGATACCTCCTTGAAAGTTGCAACCTGCGAGAGACAGCATATGCACGAGTTAAACCAAGTAGTTTGGCATCCACTTTGATTAATGCCAGCATATTTAAACTTCATCACAACAGAAACATTTCTGGGCTTTAATTTAACATACTAAATCAGAAGTACTGGGATCAGGTGGATGGGAGTTGGGAGACACTACTAAGAAATGAGGATGAAGGTTGTATGGGTCAAAATCGGACTTAGGAAATCAGGCGTGGGAAGGTCGTTGAGTGAGAAGACGGTGTTTCGATTTGGGCAGCAAAGTCGAGGTTGGCTGAAGCCCAATAACGAGCAATCGTTGAGCAAGCCGTTGAAGCTGAGGTCGAATAGCGAGGAGTAGGAATAACGGCTAGTGTAATCTTGGGACTAGAGATGGGAATATTCAAGAGAATATTCCCTTTGTTGTACTTTTTTAGGGTTTTCAGAGAACATCACATATAAATAGAAAAAGAGAGAGAGAAGAGGGGCATGTGAGATTGATTCTGGGAGAACTGTTGTATGAAGTTGACCCTTAAGGAAAAATACAAAGTTCACCTTTCTATAGTGATTGATTTTATAGATTATTCTTCCCTTTCACTTGCATGATCCAAGAAAGTATTGCTCATATTCTTGTTTACCGCCATATTTCGTTGTCCGAAGGAAGAATCTTCCACATCATTCGATATTTGGGTGAATTGTTCTTCCTATTCACATTTATTGCCATTTCCCCTATTTAATTCTCGTAACTCATTCTTCATTTACACGACTCTGAGCACTAGGTAAACGGTATCATTTAGACTCTAAGCTAGATCTAAGAATTATTATGCTTGACTAGGATTCACCTTTCACCTCAGTTATCTTTTAATTAGTTTAACAAAGAGTAGTATACTTTTTGGTCAAACAAAGGCTCCAAGATCTAAATCATTATAGTTTCAAGTGCCCTGAAGAAGATGAAAGTCCGAGTCTTGTCTTCGACTGCTGAAACCAAACGAATCATCAGGGAGCTGCCATTCGACAATATTAAGGATACAGTGGTTTGCGCACACAAGTCTATTTTGTTCTTTGTTCGATAAAAAAACAAGGAAAAGGAGACACATCTCTGCAAGTATGACAACCATACTAGAAAGGTGATAAGCCAACTGCTCCACACCAGTGAAGATGAAGTCCGAACTTTCATCACGTCTCAGTTCCTCCTAATTTTCCTATGATTAGATAATAAGTTTCTGACTTTTTCGTTTTGACTGAGTACTTATGATTCAAACCCATGGCAGTGTAAACACGTCGAGGTTTATTAACTACTCAATTCATATGTTGTTTTAATTACCGTCTTGAGTATACATACACTCGTTAATGTTTATTGATAATCTAACAGTTGGAGTGATTGATTACGTAAAACTCAATATAAACGGCAGATGTCTAAGTGCAGTATCGATCGAACGCCACAACCTTGCAGATGTCCTGCATTTTATTTCTTCCATTTCTTTGGAGGATCCTAATAAGAAGTCTTATTAGAGTTAGAAATGTGGCAACACCTGCACAACGTTATGTTTGAGGCTTCAGAAACTTTTCTCACATTTTGGTTGGTTGTAAGGAGGAGGGCCCAAAAAGATGTTGGATTATTCAATTCAAAAGAAAAATTGATTTGCGCACTTCAATTAATCTGTGACGTTATTTGTGAGAAGGATAGAGTGTGTCTCAATGACTTTATGACAGAATCGGCAGATGAGATGAATCATGACTCAATGACCAAACACAACAAATTTGAACATGACAAAATGTTGTATTATTACTGGTCCTATTTTGTAAGTTGATTGGAAGGCATATATTCTCTGTGCAGCTTTTCCCCTTTGCCTTTCTAATCCATTAATCATGATGTACCCCTTTATCTTTTAATCTGCAATATCACTTTTATTCTTTTATAAATGTGGTACCAAATTTCGGAAAACAACAACAGATCTTATCATATTCAGAAACACGATTTACCAACCTGGTATAACGATGTATTCAACACGCCCCACCTCAAATCCAGAAAACCTTTAAGGTTAGCAGCTTCTGAGTTAGCTTAAGCTGAAATATTACCATGGCAGAATAAGGGAGCTGTCCAAACAAGCCATACAATTTATCAGTGGATAGAATGCACCATCTATCATCAAAAATAAATCTGGTTCATCTATCCAGCCCTATACATACCTAATTCAAGATATAGATTATTATCAGAATTTAAAGAACATAGCCACTGTACAACAATCAGAATACAACTAACTCATGAATATTATGCCTCTATTCTCGGGCAATGTCTGGTGCCAGGCAACCAGCAGTGCAAATGACTTGCATAACCAAACAGCCTCTTCTCATGTTCTGCTGGTGTACTCTTGATCCAACTGAAATATGTCCAAAGTACGGCAAGCCTCAGAATGAACAACTCCTCAACCTCCCTCCTTAAGGCAGCCAGAACAAACTATATCCCAAACTCCTGAGTTTCACATTTCCGGACAAATGTCTCATGTTCTTTTCATTGAGGCAGACGGCCTCTGCTTGCAGTTTAGATGCCACCTCTACTTGCTTATTCGTGTTACTATCACAAGAATGAAGCACCTATCCGTACATGACCTGCCATCACAAATATCTCCAACAATCAGTTTCTCAATACCAATCAACAGTTGCTCCAGGAGGACAGAGCACAAAGTCTCCAGCCTGGCTCAATTTAGTCGGTGCCACCTAAGCTGCCGCAGGGACTGGTCCGGCCACCACATAGGACGCACCACCATGCCAAGTGGTGCCTAAGTGGTGCCAATGGGGCAAACTACCACCATGCCAACGCTTAAAAATACTCGCATTTAACAGAGGCATGATGTTTCACAATTTACGTCTGCAGTAGCTCAGGATTAGTGACTTGAGCATACTTTCAGGTTCATAGCTAGTCTGACGCGGAGCCCCACCACTGAAAAACAGCATATTTTATACTGCATCAGTTAATGTAATATTCAAGATCCAAGGAGACTTCTAAAACAGGAGATTCAAGAATATCTGTCCTGAATATCAGCAAAAAGTTTCCATTGCAATAACCTC